TCATCAATCTTCTAATGGCTTCTATTTACCTAAAAATATGAAAATCACGATAGTCTTCTAATGGCTTCAATACCGTCTTCATAGCTGAGTACATAATCTAAACACAATATATTTGCTTGACTTTACTAGTTTGAATCGAAGACAAAGTCTAGAGCTGGACTGGACCACTCGTGCACTGATGAGGAACACGAGGGAGGAAGTGACTCGGAGTTGGTGCTTTTGGAATGTTGCCTCTGCGCATCATTGTTATTGTCTTGGGCAAAGAATGGTTTTAAAATCCTTGTTCACCCGGTCGAAATCGGTCAGTGATCAGATTAAACCACTAGATAGTTTGACCCATGCAACAGTTTCTGGGTCATTTTTATTTTTAAAAATTTAAAAATATATTTTTAATTTAGAAAAAAATCATGTTCTGATACTTTTTAGCTTAAGTACGACATTAGGTTAAAACCCAGCCCTGACCGCCCTATATATATATATATATATATATATATATTGAATTTATAAAAATCCCGTTAAGTGCCTATAATTAAATTACCAACATACCAGAGGATATTTAATTGTAAATTTTGAAGGGTATTAGTAGTTTGTATTGTTTATATGATTTAATCAAATAATTAGACTTTTTGATGTTTTGTTTATGTTATTTTATTTGTTTATTATTAATATATAATAGGAAATAATAATGTTTTTAACATGTCATTGATTGGTCGGTCGAATCGTCACCCGGTCAAAGTTCTGAGTCTAATTCAACTAAGACCCGCTGGGTGATCAAGAACCGTTCGATCCGGTAATCGGATTGCAGGTTGTACATTCAATACAATAGGAATCCCAAGTCGGGGTCGGGATCGGGGTCAGGGTTGGGGATGGGGATTGAGGTTCCCATCCCACCCCCACCCCGACCCTGATTCTATCTATCTATCTATCTATCATAAATGTTATTTATATTAAATATAGTATTATATTATTTATATTATATATATATATATATATATCAAAACATATTTAAAATATTATTTATAATTTAAAATTTTTATTTATTTTAAATAAAATTATTTAAGAAAATATTATTATCTAAAAACATTTTGGGGATTTGGGTCCTTACTGGGATTCCTTGTCGGGGATCGGGGATGGAGGTTAATTTCAAAATTGAAGTCAGGGATGGGGAATATGATCCATGTCCTATTGCCATTTCTACAAACCTTATAGTTTTACATATTTACTTAAACCTGCCTTATAGTTTTCATTTCACTAAAACATCCCATATATTTTACAACTTATTTACTTAATCAACTTTTCATTAAGGAGTGTTTGTTTTGCCATTAGGCCCATGATTTTTTATTAAAAAAATACTCTTCACTTTTTTTTTATAAAAAAAAAAATTGACCAAATATAACCAACAAAGTTGTTGCCCGTGTCTTATTAAGGGCAAAAATAGTATTTTTATTTTTTATTTTCTTTTGATTAAATTTATTTAAATGAACATTACGGTCAACACTATCATTTTCCACTACCATCTAATGAAAGATTGATCAAATCCATTGCAAATTATAAAAAGTGTTTTAATAAGATGCTAACTATAGGATAGATTTTAATAAAGCCATGAAACTATAAAGGATATTTTAGTAAATAACTCTTTCTATTATTTAGCTTTCGTTTAATAAATCCCGTGCATCACACGGGTCATTTGAACACCCGCCCAATCTTTTTGAATTAATCAATGCACTCCTCTCGGCCCTTCACTTTCTTTCTCTTGCCCTCCCTCCCGCTTCCGTTCTAAGTTTTACTCCACTGGCGACGGTTGCGCCATCAGAACACACACTCCATACTGAAACTCTCTCTTTCTCTCCCATTTTTCTTGTTTCCTCTTCCTCCAAATCGGCAACTCAGCACTCCGATCGAGCCACTGCTTGCTCAAAGGAAGTCATTGCAACCACCGGCCCGGCATTGGACACAGTACTGCAGAAAGCCGGAAATATTGCCACAGAAGGTTGGAAATTTTGGTGTGTTATTTGATCTTAAAGATGTGGAAAAGCCAGACCCTAGAGTCTATAAGAATGTGCCGCATAAGGCCGGAAATATTGCACTGGGAAAAGCTTTGGATATTGGAGAAAGCTTGCAGGAGGATTACATGCAAGCAAAGAGCATAGGAATGCATGCATTGCTGCTTCCTATACCTGATATGTATTTTTTCTGTTATTTTTCTTTATTTCTTTGGATTACTTTACATGAAGGTTAAACCGGTTCATTGTTGATAATCATTGTTCCTGCCAAGTTTACATTTTTGCGCTAAAATTGCTTAATGGGTGATGTTATCCACTTGGAGAACTGTGTTTGTTTTGATAATTCAAACTACAAACGTTTGAGAGGAATGTTTTTGGTGCAGCTAGCATGTCTAATGGATTTGAGGCAGATATTTTCCTGTGACAATTCGAAGAGAAATAAGACTGAACACATTACTCTTTTCAGAATTAAAATCTAGCGGTTCTGATTCCAATGTAAAATTTAACTTCTCTTCAGCTAAGATTGATCAGTGAAATCTTGCCCGTGAAGGGCCTTGCTTATGGTTGTTATATTAATCTTCTTCCTACCTTTTACCACTTATCTTGGACTTACTCTTGCCAACAATATCAGAATGAGCAGAAAAAAAATAATAATAAATGAGATTATAGATAAGTATCCTTTACATTGAAATGTTGGAATTCTCGAATCCATAAGGTTGAATAACGCCCACTGCCACTTTGGAGAAGATACAAGATATAAGAAGTACATGTATAACATACTAAAACAACTTCTCTACCAACCGTTGTCGATTTGTAGCAAGCGGTGGCTCAGTCGGAGTGCTGGATTGCCAATTCGGAAGAAGAGGGAAGAAGAGGAAATAAGAAAAATGAGAGAGAGAAGGAGGCGGAGAGGAGTACATTAATTAATCGGAAAAAAAAAACTGGGTGGTGATCAATTCTTAATAAAAATAATAAATTATTCATTTGTAACAAAACAGCTGCCACTGTTCCGTTATAATTAAGTGATGTGATGGATTTATATTGGTGGTTGTGAGTTTTTTCTTCATGTGAAGTTACCAAGCATGAATGGTTATACACCAAGCAGTAGATCCGAAATGTTATACAACTTGACTTACTGCCCTATCCATAGAGATGGTATTCTTGAAGACCATATCATACTCCATCTTAGGGTCCATTTGGTTTGCAAGAATAGGGTTTTGGAATTAGAATCAGAATGGGTCATTCTAATTTCAACTACTTGGTTGGGTGGAATTAGAATCCTATTTTTATTTCTGGTGAAATTAGGGGTGTAATTTGGGTGGGTCTAGCTTGAGCCTAAACCGGCCCAATTCGGACTTTTATATGGGTTGGCCTTGGGTTTTCGGTCCTCGGGCTGGGTTCGGTACCAAGAAGTTAGGTTTTTTTATTTTTCGGGTTGGGCTCGGGCCTAGTCCTTAGGTAGCCCAATTATATATGTGTATATATATATATAAAAGTTGTATACATATTTACATATATACATACATATTTGTATATGTAACATTTTTATAGATATTTTGCATACATATTTATATACATACATAAATATATGAATATATATTTGCATGAATACATTTATATATGTGTAATTTTAGAGTGTGTTCATTGACCAACCCGATCCTGAGCCGAGTCTAAACCCAACCCAAGTGCATTAAATTACAGGGAGGGCTGGGCTTGGGTTGACCATAAACCCGACCCAACCCGCCTGACTTGCACCCCTAGGTGGAATGACATTGAAGGTGTAAATCAGGTCGTGCTTTTGGCAGACCATGCCATGCTAGCCCGCGGGGCAAGCAAGGTTGTGCTTTTTCTCCCTTGGGACACTTTGGGAGGTTGATTGGCACAACCCACGGCTTGTGCTGAGCCTTGGGCTAGGTTGGGCCACGGACTAGGCCAAGCCATGAGAAGTATATTTAAAAAAATAATAAAAATTTAAAGTAAATTAACAAAGTAGACAAAAAATTGAAAAAAATATATATTAGAATTTTATTTTATATGAATTTTGATGTATACAATTGTTTATATATGCAATAATAAAATGAAATATTATAATAAAATTATATATATGGGTTGTGCTACGGGCTAGGCCGGGCTGTGTCTCGTGCTGGGTCGTGTCGACACGCGGCCGCAAGCGGTGCAACATGCACAGCCGTATCGGTCCATGGACCTGAAATCCCAGGCTTGGCATGGCCCGTACAGTTGTGCCATGCCCGACACGGCTCGTGTTTCGCTGTTCTAGGCTGACCCAAAATCACGTAGGGCCATGCTAGGCTATGGACAGGATGACCTAATTTACAACTCTAAATGGCATTCCGCCATTCCCCCATTTGAGGGAATAACCATTTCCTCCCCCTCCTCGCCAAAGAAATCTCATTTTATCTTATTTTAATTTCTATTTCAATTCTTGTCTTAATCAAATACATTATGAAAAAAAGATCATTCTGATTCCGATTCCAATTACAAACGAAACAACCCTAAATTGCCAAACTCTATAATGGGGAGATGTGGAGAAATAAAAACAGTTTATAGGCAATAAGTGCATAAATGAACCAACTCATACCAACCTCGATCCAAATCCAACTTAAGAAACAAAAATATTATTTTTCTCAAACCAAAGACAACCTAAAATTAATTGAATTAGGGGCTTTCAACAACTCGGGTTGAGTTAGGGTTGACATTAACCCAATTTAACCCGACCCAACTTGCGGCCACATCTTTGTGTCAACATTACGTCACAGGCCACCAAAACAAGAATCTTCACCAACAACTTCTATAGGAGGCTGGTTCTCTACTATTCTGACATCAACCAGGCCGTGGGTCCCATACTCCCATTACGACCATTGGGGGTGGATGGGGTTTGGTGAGGGGCTGAGAGCCCGAGACTGAGAAGAACCGGCTGAGAAGGTTGCCCATTCTGTGCCACTAGAAAGGCTAGCTCACACCTGGTCCACGTCAGTAGGCGCGGTAGGTAAATGACGGATCAGCGCTCCCTAAGTCCCTATTCCCTTTCTTAAAAAGGAAGCTCTCACCAATCCCCAAACCAGAGACTCCCTCTCTTCTCTCTCTTAGGGTCTGAGTCTCTTCCAAATTATTCATCAGGCGATTCTCTCCGTCTATCGTCGCAGGTATTCGACGCATCATTTCTTCTTCTTCTTCTTCTTCTTCTTCTTCTCAGATTTGTTTATTCCCTATTTGTTCTTTTTCATCACTCCTTTCCTAGAAATTCTAATTCCGGAAAATCATGAAAAACCTTGGCTTAAAATGAAATCTCCGTAATAGTAATATGCGAAAGATTTTCAGTCGTTGGGTCCCATACAGCGCATAATAGCCAGTGGGCTAACATGGGTGGCGCTAAAATACTGTGCTCGGTGATGAGTACTTACGCGGTTATTTATTTGGTTGCGGCAGGTGAGGTGACTGACGGAAGACGCCGGAGAAGATGATTATCAGCGTGAAGGAGTCGACTATGGTGCGCCCGGCGCAGGAGACGCCGCAGCGGAGCCTGTGGAACTCTAACGTGGACCTGGTGGTGCCGAGAATGCACACCCCTAGCGTCTACTTCTACCGGCCAACCGGTTCGACCAATTTCTTCGATCCGAAAGTGCTCAAGGAAGCTCTGAGCAAGGCTCTTGTGCCGTTCTATCCCATGGCCGGGAGGYTGAAGAGGGACGAAGATGGTCGGATTGAGATCAACTGTAACGGCGAAGGGGTGTTGTTCGTGGAAGCAGAAACTGGTTCCGTCATCGATGATTTCGGCGACTTTGCGCCTACCATGGAGCTCAAGCAGCTTATTCCGGCAGTGGATTACTCCGGCGACATCTCTTCGTATCCTCTCCTTGTGTTGCAGGTTCGTGCTTTTCTTTTTAATTATTACTATTACTATTATTTGGAAGTTAAGGCACGCGTTTGGTCTCTGATTTGAACTCGAACATTAATAGATTTCGATGTCAGTGGGTAGGCTAAGTGGTACACCTGCACGGACCCGACACTAACTCCAAAGATCGGATCAGCCTTAATTGGGTTTTGGGTCGATGCAAATCCACGCTAAAACCGATTCACTGGCATTGCAGCATTGAAATATTTATAAATTGAGAAATTGTCTAAAATTTATCATGAATTTTTAACATTTTTTTTAAATTCATCACAACTTTTCAAAATGTAAATTCATTGTAACTTTTCATTTTCCAAAATTCACTTTCCCACCCTTAACACTTTTTAATAAAAGTGTCTACGTCAGCATAAATAACAATTTTTATGATTAAATTATTTTTGAATAACGAATTAAAAGAAAATTAGTCTTTTTTAATTTTCAATTTTTTTTTTTACATTTGTAGTATTTTGCTACGATTTCCAATGTTTTTTAATTTTTTTTTTATAATTTATATTTTCTACAATCTATAATTTTTCCTGTACTTTTTGTTATTTATTTTTAATTTTTGTATTTTTCTTTATTTTTTTTGTATTTTTTTACAATTTTTATTTTCTAATTTTGTTTTTCAATTTCTCTAGTTTCTATAATTTGAAAACAATTTTTTATTTTGTTTACAATTTTTAAATTTTATATATTAACACCTGTTAATTTAGTTTGTACCAATCAAGAGTGGACCGGGTGATCGAATTCTATATTCGAACCTAGATCACCCGTTAACAAAATATATTCCAATACAAATAACCGATGGCTGGCTCATGGGTTAGTTGCTTTGTTCCAGGGTTGATTAGGAATCGAATTTCGCAACCAATACTTTGGGGAAAAAGGGTGAAGGGAAAGTTATTACTTGTTAACGGTGACACTCTACATCTCATATGGTGCATTGGTTCACGACTCGTCACAAAGAGGGGCAAAAGGGCTACATACCATACTAACCATCGGCCCAAGGCGCTGAGGATTTACTTACTAATTACCAATCCACGGTATCATGCCCGGAAGATCTCAAACCCAAGTGGGAATTTCGACCCGGACGGGTAGAGACGTAAAATTAAAACGTGCATAAGATCTTTGCATGTGGCACCATATGATGCATTTTTTTTTCTTAATCAGATTACACGTTTCAAATGCGGAGGAGTATCTCTTGGAGTAGGGATGCAGCACCACGTGGCAGACGGATCATCCGGGCTCCATTTCATCAACACATGGTCCGACATGGCACGTGGCCTCGATCTAACCATCCCGCCCTTCATCGATCGAACCCTCCTACGCGCACGGGACCCACCCACTCCTTCTTTCCACCACATCGAGTACCAGCCAGCTCCACCCATGAAACACCCTCCGGAAACTCCCAATTCCCAATCAGGTCCCGAGAGCACCACCGTCACCATGTTCAAGATCTCCCGGGATCAACTCAACATCCTCAAGGCAAAGTCCAAGGACGGAGCCAACTCAGTCAACTACAGCTCCTACGAGATGCTTGCGGGACACGTCTGGCGCTGCGTCTGTAAGGCACGTGGCCTCCCCGATGATCAAGACACCAAGTTGTACATTGCCACTGATGGACGGTCCAGATTGCGCCCCCCACTCCCGCCGGGTTACTTCGGAAACGGCATCTTCACCGCCACACCGATCGCCGTCTCCGGCGATCTCCTATCCAAACCGTTGACATACGCCGCTGGGAGGATTCATGATGCGCTGGTGAGGATGGATGATGAGTACCTGAGATCAGCCCTTGATTATCTTGAGTTGCAGCCTGATCTGACGGTTCTCGTACGAGGGGCTCACACATTCCGGTGCCCCAATATAGGGATCACCAGCTGGGTTCGGCTGCCGATACACGATGCGGATTTCGGATGGGGCCGCCCGATATTTATGGGGCCCGGTGGGATCGCTTACGAGGGTCTGGCTTTTCTTCTACCGAGCCCGGTGAATGACGGGAACTTGTCGTTGGCCATCTCGCTGCAGTCGGATCACATGAAGGTCTTCCAAAAGATTCTGTACGATTTTTAAGAAACCGAAACAAGCCATATATCGGTCCCATAAAACTACTAAGCGGGCCGATATTTCGGATATTTGGCCGAGTTTTTTTTGGTTGTTCTGCTGGTTTTGCTTGTTTCCTTCTGAATGATATATATACGTTAAGACAGTAAAAATAACTTGCTATAACATTCATTTTTCTTACTTTTGTTTTTCTTCTTAATTTGTGTCTCTTTGTTTAGTTTCTCAGCTCCTTCTAATCACACAAATAGAATTTGGGGAAATCGTTTCTTTATTTTAAGGATTTGTCTCCTTTTTCAATTAAAAACTAAAAAGGAGACAAGTCTTAACGCATGCCAAATGCAGCATAAATAGCATTTAGTTCGTAAGCAGATTTATCAAAGTTTAAGTATCCTATATTCAATGGTGCAAAGTATTTATTGGATCTGCTCCATATGTAATGGATTTATATTAGAATTGATCAAATTGAATCAATATCCAATCCATTAACAGAAGATAAGAATAGGTATGTGAATGGACTAGGTTTAGGTTGGATCCTATATGAATTAAAATCAACGTGAGCAGGTTTGGCAGTCCAATAAGATAAATTGAATTGTATTAGTTCAGTCAATAATTATCTAATTGGATTGGACTTGGTCATTTTTAATGGACTCATATTGGATCAGGTTGGGATAGAACAATATCTAGTCCATTGACAATCTTAGGAGTTGGGACATGTGACCACTTTTGATGGTTAATACCCTTCCTAGAGATGTATAATGTATTGGTTCAATTGTTGAACTTAAAAACTTTTTAATTGATGTGTCATTTCTTTGAATCACGTGATACTTAATTTTTGTTAATAACACATATTGATACTTAGAATCTTGTGAGCAAATCTACTTGCAAGTTACTCAAGCTCAGCTCGCTTAATACTTAACTTGATCAACTTGTACAAGGTATGGGTGGATATGGTACGACCTACGGGTGGTTCGTGTTGTGCCAGCCTATGGGCCAAGTTGGGTTATGCTTCTTTCCCTTGGAACACTTTGAGGGATTGGCCTGCACAGTTCATGGCCCGAGACCACACAGGCCTGTGTCGTGCTACGGGCTAGGCTGATTTACGAATTGAGACTTGGGTTAAGTCGGACTGTGAATCGGGCCAAATCATGAAAGGTATATTTTTAAAAATTGAAAAAAAATAAAAATTTAAAATAAATTAACAAAATAGACAAAAAAATAATAATAAATAAAACTGATATTTAGGCTAACACTTTAAACCAAATTCGAAGAAAAAAACTAATAATAAATAAAGCTGAGCTTCAATACAATCCTTTACGTCCCAGTCGGTGTATCAAACTATTTCGATATTTTGAACCTTAGAGCAGACCTCTTAGGCATGAACCTAATGAGGTTGTATACCTTCATCCCTGGCAACACCTAACAAGGGTGAAGGGTTTGAGAGCTCAATATCACAATTGATGAGCACTCGAATTATTTGATGTCATTTCGGTGAAAGCCGAAGCAATAAAATTAAAAAATTATGCCCAACGTACATAAGTGAGAAAAAAGAGGAACTCTTATTGATAAAAATGATTACATTGATGATGACTAGTGACAATACATCCAAAGGATTTTTGTATTCCAAATACAAGGTATGGGCTTTCCATCAAGGTGTTTGAGTTGATATGTTTCAGTCCCTACTGCTTTCAATATCCTATGGGGTATCTCCCAATTGGGTGCGAGTTTTCCCAAACTAGGCTTAAGGAAGGTGACCTTTTTGAGGATAAAGTCGCCTTTCTAAAATTTTCGCCCTTAAATCCGAGAGTTGTAATACCAGGCACCCTCTACTAGTAGGCCATGGCTTTAATCTGGGTTTGTTTTTAGGCTTCTTCTAGTAAGTCCATGTTGGCTTTGAGTTCCTCATTGTTCCCATATTCCTTATACGAGTTAGCCCTCAGGATTAACTAATTGATTTATTCTACCATGATAGGTTCACTACCAAAGGGAAGGTTAAAAGATGTTTCGCCCATGTCACTTCAAGTTATTGTCCAATAGGCCTAAAACACACTTGGGAATTCTTCTACCCATAAACCTTTGGCTTGGTTTAATTTGGTTTTGAGGTCTTGTAGTATAACCCTGTTGGTACTTCAATTTTTCCATTATTTTGGGGGTAGTTAATTGGAGTGAATTATTACTCTACTTTGAGACTAGCACAAAAGTCCATGAAATTTGAATCATTGAATTGATAGACATTGTTTACAATCAGTATATTAAGTAGACCAAAGTGGAAAATGATACTCTTCCATAAGAAACTTTGGATGTTCTTTGTTTTAATCTATGTTAGAGGCTTGGCTTTGACCCATTTCATGAAATAGTCAATGGCCACTACCTATAACTTGAGGTCAAGGGAAATGGTCCAAGGATATCTATTCCACACTGAAAAAAAGGCTATGGAGTATTGATGGAAACAAGGGAAGTCATAGGATAATGTGATATATTAGCATGTTTCTAGCATTAGTCTCATTTATAGATGAGTTAAATTTGTGTCTTCCTTCATTATGGGTCAGAAATAACCTTGCCTTAAAAATTTATGGGCTAAGAACATACCCCTGAAAAATAGTTGTCATAGAGGCTTTCATGTATTTTTCTAAGGACATAAACTCGTTCATCTGACCTCAAACATCTTAGATACGGTAGAGTGAATGACCTCAAACTCGTTCATGTGTTTTAGGGTACCTCGAGTCTTTAGGAGGTGTTGGATTAATGGTGTGAAGTATTCAAAGGGAAATTTGCAATTCAAAGGAAGTTATAGTGTCCGCTTTTTGGGTGCCTACATTGAGGGTTTGGTTGAGGATGTAATGGTTAGAGAGAGGTCACCATTAAACCTAGGGGTGAAATCCCACAATTGCCCCATGCCCGTAAAAGGACAAGACTACGAAGCTGCCATGTGTCAAGCACCAATTGAACCAAATAATTTGGATCTATCAAAATGACTAAATGATAAACAAAGGTTGATTGCCATATATTGCAGTCAAATGACTCATCAATAAAATAAAATATAATGAAGTTGATAACCTTAGTCCTAAATCCTAGTCGATTAGGGGAACTTTTGGTTTCTAATTTCAACTAAATTAACAATTTTGGAAGATTAACCATGCTACTTACATGTCTAGCTACTTTATAATGTCATTCCAATTTGAAGCTTTCTCACTTCTTTTAGGTGGGTAAGGCGTGAGATCAGGGCCCACATCTGTCAATATACTATTATTTTCATAGTACTGGGTTGGTGAGATTTTGGAGCTTTCTTGCTATCAAATCATCCCAATAMAAGAAAATAAAAACAAAAAAGCTTTTCAAACATTTCTGTTAGGTGGGTAAGGTGGCATGATTTGACGGCACAGAAAGAGAAAGGTRTCCATCAAAATTGGTTTTATTTATATTAGGTTTTGGATTTGGTTGCTTATTATGGATGGAAACTCCAGTACATTTCACCTGAGGGTTCTCTCGAAGATGAACTTGTTTGTTTTTAGGGATAAATAGACTGCAATCGACCTCGAAAATTTAAAATTACAATTTTCTCCTAAAATCTATTAATAGCCTCCTATAAATCACATCCTGAGGATTCTGCCCATTGTCATCAATTCATGATCAAGATTTATTTCACCGGTAAGGCTCAGATTTCTGAAGTAGACTGAATTATAAAAACCCCTTCTTTTAAATATGATACATTGCCAAGAAAGTCAAATGAGGACTAACTTGCTTTTCCTACCTTCTTGTCCTTCTTAGGGCTGTATTACCTCTAGCATTATATATCAACATCCGAACTGATTATTAAACTTTGGATCCAATTAAATTTTATCCGCAATCTACTTAGGTGAACTCGGATGGGTTTGGATTTAATCCACATCCAATCTTTTTAAGATGACTATAAATTAAAAATGTTCAAAAAAAGTGATTTCTTTTAGTTTATACATATAATAAATTATATGTTGGTGTCAGTATTAATGCAGAATCAAATCTTGCAATCAACACTTTGGAAAATGATGTAGCACGGTCCGGTCACTCCTAATTGGCGCTCACATGACTCCTGAAAGGTAACTGAGATGAAAGGAAATAGGAAGAACTCTCGAGGGGTTTCCCGACGGGAACGCTCCGATGCTTAAGTTAGAACTGTGTGTAAGAAGCGAAAGGAGAACGAAGGCTAAGAGTGAGGATAGTGCCTTATCACTATGTTCACGAGGTTGAAGATCTTAGAAGAAGTTTCCCTTCTATCCTGAGGGCTTTTATAGAGACACTCACATTAGGTCGGGCATAACCGCCACTGGGCTCCTGCCACAGCCGTTACCTGCCAGGGCTGCACAGGTGGCCGTTGCGGTGTACGCTTCGCCCGGGTGAGTGACACGTTTCCAAAGTGGCAGGCATGCCTTTGCCCGTTGAGAGACGTGGATGCAGACTATCGGAAGGACTGGGACTGCGCCGTTGGTAGAGGATATGGCGCAGTCTGACCGGTACGGTTTGTCAGTCGGAAGCTTCCTGGAGGGTGCTAGCGCGGCTCGTTCGCGAGCTATCTCGTAGCGAGCTCGGGATACTCCAGGGTTACCTTAGTGGAATTGGTCCTCGGAATGACTTCTGTTAGGGGGCTCGGGCGAGGTAATAACTTTAGCTCGCGAGCTACAGTTGCCTCGGGGTATCTCTTCCAAGATAGCACGGGGAACCCGGAGTTCGCCTTGCGGCGGGCTCTTCCCCTCGAGCTGTAACGTAGCGGACTGCTTCGTGGGCCCGTCACTTGGTCGCTCCGGGCTTCAGTGCTAGGCTGTCGCTCATGCTAAGTCGGCGCCTACGTGTCACCGTTTCATAGGTTGGGTCAAATCATCCCTCATCAATTGCCCCCCACTCCTTGAGCTAAGAGTACCGCCTTAGTGCGGGGAGTTTATGAAGTGCGACAGACTGRTTTGACCGAAATTCAAACTTGATTGACTGTCCTTATTAAATGCATTCACAGGAATCAAGAGATTTTCTGACTCTCCTGACTTTTCGGATTCCGAAAACGTGCTGAGGTGGCCTTTAACTCCGAACGTCGTGCGGCTGCAACTACCTTAACTACGGAAGACGTGCCGCCAATCGCCTTCGGTTTTCAGAAGGCGTGCGGTCGGGGCGCCTGCGGACCGTTGGATCTGCTTTGATCTGGGCCGTCAATTTGAAAGGGTGGAGACTATAAATAKGGGGCCCCCTCGGGCTCTACTTTCTCCCACGCCATTTTGCTGTCTTTGGATTCTGAGGTTGCGCACTTCACCTAGTCTACCCGAGTTCCTCAGTTTGCTTCGTTCCATCTACTCTAGTGAGTCCCAATTGCTGCCAGCCATGTCTAGGTATCCATATCACACCTATCACAGGGGCAATAGACAGGATGATGATGCTCCCTCAAGCTCGGAGGGTGCCTGGGAGCAGATCCTGGAGGCTCGGGAGGCCTCTGGTGACATGGCGTCTACTTCTAGGGGGAGGGAGCCTGATACTTTTGGCCCTTCCTTAATGACAGCGGAGAGACTCAGGTCTCTGATCCGCTACTTTCACCTCCCTGGGGACCTGGTTTACAGCCTTCCTACTGGTAACTTCCCTTGGGAGCATGACCCCGATGACATAGTAACCTTTCAGGAACAACTCGAGGCCGGCTTGCGTCTCCCCCT